ATCCGGTTGAAATCATTGGTTGAATATATTTATGAAAAAAATTTGAAACACAAAATTGACAGATTTAGTTAATTCTATCGTTAATACCTCTCTTGTTCGCGTGAACAGCTCGTTATCGATTGTATCTGCTCTCCTTGAATAATGTGACCGCGTTTGTTCCGTGTCGCGGACAAATATCTGGAGAATTAAGTATTCATGGTACTCCTGCTTTGCAAGTATAATACCTTTTCCATTTATATTTTTATAATATATTTTATTCCTTCTTTCGCGACACGATGAGCCAAATACCCATATTCCAGACACGAATTGGCTTGAATTTCATAATTCGAACAGATTCGAACAGTATTTCTCCTCGTCCAGAATTCTTCTTCTTCTTCTTCTTCTTTTTTTTTTTTAATTTATTTTTTATTTAAACGATTTAAACGAAAATCTCGCCTCGTTGTTTCCAGTGTAACAGGGGGAATGGAATTAGATTCACGGGCGTAGATCGCGATTCTAGATGCCGGTTAATGAGCTAATTAACACGGTCTTGCGCGGCGTTCAATTAAAATGATACAAAAGATAGCGTAAAAGCTTGGCTCAGTTTGATCGCTATTAAGTTGAAGCTAATTTGTGTAATGTATTATGCATCGAAATGTATATATATATATATATATATATGTATACATATCTACATATATATGTATATACGTGGCGTAGAACCTCATCAACCATGGTATACCGTTACTTGGAACTTGTGCCTAATTAGTTCGGGCTAACGAGGATCGCATTTTTATACGGTTCCTGATCCTCTGGAACAAGGGGAAACTTTACTCGTGATTAATTATTCCGATCCTCGTCAGATCGTTTCGACGTTGTTACATATCATTCGTTGAACGTTTTCGATCAAAATTCGTCTGAACAAACTCGATCGAGTTCATTTTTAATCGATAAAATTGAAAATCGATAAATTTATAAAATAAGAGAATTTAGAACGGAATTAGAGAGCAAAATTCATCCTCTGTTTCATTCCCCTGTATCACGTTTTTTATTCGTTTAAACTATTAACCAAGTTTCATTCGTGACAAAATTTTTAATTTCAATTCTCGAAACTTTGGTTCGTTGAAATTCGTATATTTTTCGATTCTCATTTCTCACTAGCGTCGAAACGAGTAAGGAACACCATGAAAATGAAAGGTCAATCGAAAGAGCGATTCGTCGCGCATATAAAAAAACCGATACATTCCCAAATTTCACTCGTTCGAGATTCAATCGAAAGAGAAACATCGTGGAACGATGTCGAATACCAAACGAAAGGAAAAATCGTCCCCCTTTAACATCTTCGATCGCATCTAATCAATACACTCCAAAAAAATTTCCCATTTGCACGAAAAATATTAGCTGGAAAGATAAAAAAGCGTGCAACAAATATTCACCACGAAAACTTCCAACCACGAACATTTAATCCTCCCGTATACATTTTTCTGCGGAAATAACGAGAGATCGTCGATTTTTAGAAACGTCACGCAGAAAAGATACGCAGAAACGTAAGAAATGGAATATTTTCCACGAAATTAGCGGGGCAGGATGGAAAGAGAGAGCAAGGGGCAATCTCTTTTCTCATTTCCCTTTTTCCACGTTGGTCGACTCTTCCACCCGTTTAGATTACACCCGATTCTTATCGCGCGTATTTCCGCAGAAAAATCGTTTTGCATGCCCTCCCTTCCATCACGTTGCGCGCGAGACGCAACACAGGAGAACACACGCACCGGCACGGAATCGTAATCACTGTTTTTTTTCGAACAGTTTCACTTGTTGTGCATCCGCATTTTACTGCTCCCTCGTTCCTTTATTTCCCCCTCTCCTCCTCCTATGTGTATTCTTTGTCTCTTCCATTTTTTTCTGCGCTTTTTTTCCTTTCTCTACGATTCCACCATTATGTTACGTTTCTACTCCATTTTACGACACGAGAAACCTAACCTTGGCGTTTCTACCCATGGCGTTTCCACGGGGAAAAACACGGAGGTACGACTATTCGACGTGTGATAAAGTTATACAACGTCCATAAGTCACTTGGTATATTTGGGGACGAATGAATATTGTAATGGGTTGCATTTACGCTATTGAATATTGCATTGTTCGTATCGCAGACAATGGTCCTCTCGTGGATTATTATTAAATTTTGATCAAGTTTATCGTCAATATAATATCAACTTGAGAAATTTGTAGAACGTAGAGAGAGAAAGATCTAGTTTAGTTGACTGAGAAATTTGAAAAATGATGGAGATGGTAATTTTGGTGAAAATTTTAATCATTTAATAAGGAATTATTATCGTATATTAAAAGAGAAGTTACATAAGAGACCAGATGGATCAACTAGAACTAAACTAGATTAAATCTGCTCTATATTACAGAGTTATCCAACAATCCCACAAACAATTCGTTATCCAAACCGCTTTAGTATTGGTATATCTTTTATCACAACAATAGAGAGTTGATCACTAAAATAACTCTCTCATTACCAAATTAAATCTTCTTAACTCCATTTAACAATGATAAATATTTCACTTTGTTTCTCGAGAAACATTCACAATTTTTCCAAAACATTTGCAATTCTATCTAATACGAGATATTCAATTTATCGAGTAACAAGTATTTTAAAATCTAAATCTAATCTTGTTAATTTTTCCAGAATTCTTGGAAGCCAATCTAAAAATTCCAAACGAATATTGAAGACGAAACGTGACTCACGGGAGCGTTTAAAAAATTAGCTCGAGTTGACCAATGACTTATGGACAGCGCTGTAACTCGTTGGCGAAGGAAAAAATGGGAGCTTTACGCCGTCACGTTTTACGAACGGTCCACCCTCTTGAATTCTAAATGGATCAATTTCCACTTACCACGATTTATACAGTCCCGAAAGCGGTTCCTGATACGGCCACCGCTCGAGGAGATTATGGCTACGTTTTCTGTGCCCGCGATTAAAATGCTTCGAGGGTTCTATTACCCCTCCTTCCCTTTCCTCCTTTCTTTCTCGAGATTTTCGTCGTTGGAGATTGTCGATTTCGATCCTCGAGAAGCCGTTTCGTTAATTACCTCCCCCTCCGTACACCTTTGCTATTCGTTTATTATTCGAGGAACGTTGAAGAACACTACAAGCCGTGTTTTTGCTTTATTCTTATTATTATACCGCGATAAGTAAGTGGAAAGGTTTCGATGTTTGGAATTGTTGATAGATCGCGACCCAGTTTTAACGCGGATAGTTTATTTTGTTTCGAATTTCGTTGGAACACAGGTTTCGCAGAGAGTTTCGATTATTATATGCAATTCGATATTAACTTGGCTAATTGATAGTTAATCGTTCGGTTTATGTAATTTAAATTTGAATTGGCAAAGGTGGGCGTGCATTAAATCGAGCCGAATTCTGTTCGATATATTATTTACGAGTTATTACAGTACGGGGAGATTATAGGAGAAAAAGTTATATTTCGTAATGTTCGCAGGTGGATATTATTTAAAAGTTAGGTGTAGACTTACGATTAACATGTCTTTATCGTAAAAATAATATAATATCTTTTTAACAAAAAAATTGGAAGAGAATCAGGTTGGACGTGTTTGACCATTTATGAAAGAATTTCTTACACTCGGGAATATTAATAGCGTGTCTCGAAATCAACGTATCAAAGACAAAATAAAAATAACAGAACTTATATAACGATTATTTCTCCAATTTTTTTTCAACTTTGAAATATTAAAAAAGAAATCCTCAAAATTCGATATTTCTTCCATGATCTCTTGACTCGAAGTATCCAATATTTTCGGAGAAAAAAAGAAAAAAATAACGAAAGAGAGGGGGAGGAGGAAAAATTTCGTCAATCCACGAAATTAAATTTCTACGCGTATCCATTCTCTCTCGGGCGAAAGATAATTTATTTAAGTGCTCCCATTTTTGACGCCATCGCGTGTCTCTCGCGAAATCGAATCCCCTCCGTGGTAAAACATTTTTGAAGGAAAAAGTTCGAAAGGAGCCGCCCTGGGTGGAAGGTTTTAGCTAGCACTGGTCGCGGACCAGTCGCCAGGCAGCTTCCGGCCTGATGGAAAGTCTGTGAATTGTTCTCAGGGGTGGGTGTCTACATTTCGAGGGTGGAGGAGGGTTCGGTGGCCGAACGTGCTGGACTCAGGCCAGGAGACACCATCTTGGAGGTGAACGGCACACCCTTCCGGGCGGTGACCCACGAGGAGGCCCTCAAAGTGAGTTTCTACTTTCATTTTCCGAATCAGAAACATTTCCTCGCTCGCGTAACCGTGTATCATGGCGTTGCGATTGCAATTCCAATTCTATCGCGAATGTACAACGAAGCTTTTTTTTCTTTTTTTTTCTTCTCTTCTCGAAAATATTTACGACGTAATTAGATTGCGGATTTTTATGCGAAGCAGAGATATGTTTCTGTTTCAACCTTATATACCTTTGCTTATTTTTAATGTAGAATTATTTTTGAAATTGGAATTATTTTTGGAATCAGTTGGACATTTTCGATTTTATTGAGAGGATATTTTTTGATAATTATTTTAAGAATAAATATTGATAATCATTGGTAGTTGTTTCAGTGATTAAACTTGAATTTTTTCATAATTTTTGAAAGCCTAAAAGTGAAAAATAGTTTCAAGAGTAGTAAAATAGTTAAAAAAAAAAGTAGAATATTTTAATTAAGTTTCTCTATTATCAGTTTTCTTAAATTCAAACTGAACTACTGTAATTCCTTCGAAGAAGGAAAATTCTACTTCTATTGGCCGCACAATCGTTACAGTGAAATCGTCGCGTCAGTGAATCAATGGGCACCAACCCAATCGTGTCGAACCCTTCAATTTTGGAATGTTTCTCTAAACACGTTTCGTTGGCTACGTGCCTGATCACAGTTAAAAATCAGTATTAAATCATTCTGGCCATTGGCGTGCAATCGATCGTGCTCGTTTTGTATTTATGAGTGACCTTAAGAGCCACCCCATCGATCGCAAATACCAGCCAGGCTCTCAGCTAGATTATATGGGGTGGGGCAAACGATTTCCTTCGATAAGTGTTATCTGACGAACGTTTCGAGCGCTTTTCTATTTTAAATCAATTCCATTCCTTCCTTTTCCTCTATCTGTCCGACATATCGATATTAAACTTTTCCAAATATCCTCTTAGAAATTATCGATCGTTTCACGGATTTCTTTTTTCTTCTTCTTCTTCTTTTTTTTTTTATATATATATTATAATTCACACAAACAAAAACTTAATTAAAATTCCTAAGAGAATATTTAACGAAAGAAGCTTATATATTTTAATTTTAAGCTACTCAATTATGTCTCAAGATTTTCAACTCTCATCCTCCCATACATTTTTTTAATAAAATTTTAATTTCAGTTCGCGATGAAAAAGAAATTTGCAGGAAGGAATCGGGAGTGTAGTGAGATATTTATTTTTCTCTGGAATTAAAAAAAAAAAGAATTCGAAGATTCGTAAATAGGAATACGGTAAAAAATTATCTCGAAGGAAAACCGTTCCTCGTTATTCTTTCGTTACGATCGATAAGAGAAAGTGTTTCCAACGACTGTATATCTTTGATCTCCGTTCTCGATTATTCGGAGGGCTCTCTCGTCACTTGTCAAGCTTCGTTCTTCCATACTTTCTAATTCAATAGTTCTCTTTTAATTCGCATAATTTCGAGCCTGATTGCCACGAATCGAAAGAGATCGATTTTTTTTTCAAAATTATCCCCTCGAAGATGAACTGGTGGCTTTTGAAAAGAGAGAAAGGGAAAAAATTTCTCGCAAGATACTCTCTCGCGTTATTTAATTTAACTTGGAAGCGAGATTACGGAGGCTGGATCGCGCCGGGTTATAGCAAAACTTTCAACAATATTACCGTGTTTTATAAAAGAGGGTTAACCTGCCTCGAGCGTTGCCTCGAAATATCCTTTGAACGATTTATATCGTAATTTTCGACATAACTCTTATAATAATAATAATAATAAAAAGAATAAAACATTCGTTGATAAAAGTCATCTATGGTACAAACTCGATGAGAGATTATAAAGAGAGAAAATAATAAGAAAGAAAATAATGGAAGAAAATTTTTACAAGATCTCGTTTCCTTGCAAAATGACGTCATTGTATATCATCTTGATACTTATTGGCATCGGATTCCCGACCTCGAGAAATAACAATGGAACACAAGAGCCTTAAATTCTTAGAGAAGAAAATATCTTCTACGCGCAGAAAATTTGCGTGGAGGGACACGAATCGAATAGATGTCTTCGTGTCTTAAGAAGGGACTGCAGCAACCTCGAAAAGGAGAGATTCGAAAAAAAAAAAAAAAATTGTTGTCATTCATGGAGAAGGGAAAAGATTTGCCATTTATTGATTTAACGAGTAATAAATTAAAAAAATATTCGTATGCCAAACTATTTTCGTTTCCACAAAACTGAAGCGAATCGAGAATCGACTAAATCGAGGGATAATCGAGGTGGAACGTTCCCTGAAAAAAAAAAGAAAAAAATAGAAAAAAAAGAAGAAAGAGAAGGAAGAAGAGAGGGTTCGATCGATGGCTTCGTTGGATGGACCACGAGGTCTTTTTGGCCAGATCGTCGAGGCCTGAAAATTCCGCGGCGTGGAGCATGAAAAAATGGCGGAAAGGAGGGGGCGAGAGGGGGATGGATGATGACTATCGACTGGCCGGATGGAAAGAAGCTTCGCTCGGAGCCACGCCACGAGTAATCTCTGGTGTAAACGTTTCTGATGGGTATCTCTGGGGATCCGGTGGCTCGTCATACTCTCATAGTAGCTCGGGAGTTTCTAGACAAAAGCACGTCGACAATGGGCCATCAGGGTATCAGACTGGTTCGGTGAAGAGGCACGTAGCTCGGTGAAAAACCGCCTCGAAATTTTCGAATACACGATCCAGGTCTCCTTCTTCTTCTTCTTCTTCTTCTTCTTCTTCTTCTTCTTCTTCTTCTTTTTCTTCTTCTTCACTATCGATGCTTTACACACGCTCTCTCGATACTTGGAAACAATAAAAATAATATATTCGACCCTGTGTCAGGGTTACAGGCATCTTCATGATGGAGAGGTTGCTGAGCTAGAAGTGGAGCATTATGCATTCAGATTACTTTGTATATAACACGGTTGTTCGATATTTCATCGATAGGAATTTAACGAGGCGTCGTAATATTTCTTTTTTTATTCCGGTGCCAAGCTTTTCGGTCCCATTTCTTTGTTCTCGTAATGGAATTGTGTTTATTTTTTATTCCTCGTAATATCTCCCCTTTTTATCTGTTTTACGATATTCGATATTCGACGATATTGAAGTCAAGTTAGGTTGATTGGCGTGTAATATTACCCGTCGAAATTTATTCGAATTAAAAACTAGAATTTAGTTTATCCAATAACTAACGATATTATCGTCGTTTTAAATATGTTCTACGGATTGCTTAAAATCCCGTTTTAAAATCTTGAAAAAGAAAAAAAGGATCGTTTTCGACTCGACAACATTGAACGCCTCTCGAAACAATCGGGAAGAACTGTCGTTCTCGCCGCATCTCACAGACATACCATCCCTAAAAGTCTGCGTTGCAGATTCACTCCGCTTGGAGAGGGATATCGGTGTCACCCCCTCCTCCCTCTGTTAAGAAGTTATTGTATTTCTGAAAAGTTAGAGAAATTCAATCTCTCCCGAGAGATGAGACTCGGTGATTCTGCTTACACTATTCTTTCCACCCTTGGAAACTCCGTGTTTCTATCGAATCGTGTGGCGCACGTGCACACAAAGAAGAGGAATCGAATAGAATAAACACGATTTCGCGCGACGCAGAGGGATAAATCCGCGGTTGAAGAAAAATCTCAAGGGTCTTTCTCCCTTGCAATTTAGTGTTCGAATCTCTCTCTCTTTCTCTCTCTCGAGTTAAACTGGCTCCAATCTATGAAGAGATGCTGTGTAAATGGTCGAATGGTCTGTTCGTTCGGCAAATAACGGCAAGGTTGTGGAATTCTCGACGTGGAAAAGTACGAAGGAAGGAGAAATAAATGGCGTAATCGAAGGGGATTTGTTAATTAATGGGGTGGCGGAACCTTGACCCAGGTGACTACTACAGGAAATTGGAGGAGCCGCGGATTCCTGAATGATCACGATAGGTCAAACGGTTGACCCAGTTCGACAATCCACGGATTAAGTTTCCGGTGTGCCCGTACCGACTCGTACTGGATAACAGTGTCACCTGTAATCAAAACGAAATTTTCTTGATCCAAGGTCCACCCATCCAGCTCCAATTTCCTACTGGATTTGTTACTATCTCTTATTACTTAGACATTGATTTGCGTGAGAATCTACCATCTTTGAAATTTAAATGTTTCCTCTTACGCTCGTTTGTCGTCGTTACGTTTCCTATATTTTTATTCTTGTAAATCTCGTTTATTAGAAGAATTACTCAATTATCCTGGAATTGGAGGAAAAGTTGTAAAGAATTATTGTCATCAACGAAACAAATAATTAATAGTACTCGATTTACGAGATGCTGCAAATATTAATTAATTATTTCAACGAATAAGAAAATCAAAATTGAAAATAAAATAAACTTCTATACAGAAATTGTTAAGACTCGCGGTCTCAAGCGGAAATAATAATAAATATTTAATCAATATTCAAAGAAAAGACGCGCTCCATGCACTTTTTCTTCAATGTACCCAAAAGAAATTACTCTACTTTCGAAGAGATTTTTCAACCTCATCAACCCATACTAACATCGATCGGACCAGTTCGATAAATATCTTTCTAAAAAAAGGATCTCGATGGAAGTCGACGATGTGAATAGCGTTCCAGGATTGTTTGCTATTTCGAAAGGTTGTCTCTGGAGGACCGACATCCGGCTCCGGTCTGCTTCTCGTCTGACATCGATCGGCCATAAACGCTTGAACGAGCTAGGGATTAAATTGCACGGTTGTCGTAAAGCGTAACGGTGGCCGTGGCTCGTTATTTCGTAATGGGTTGTAAGGGTAGGGGCGAGGAGGGAAACGCGGGCACGGTGCGAAAAGTTTGGCGGATTTATGGCGCGTTTTTCCATCGAGTTCATTAAGGGAGGAGGAAAATTTAGGAGCTCCTGCTTCGAACTTGCCAAGTCGAGGATGCAATGGACTTTTTGGGGGGAATTAGCATGCCGTTAAAGTGCTAATTATGTTCAGACACGATGATTGAGATTTTGTCGGCAATCTCTTCT